CTGTAGAATCGTTACGATCCAATCGAACGAATGCAAACGTTTAGAAATTTTCTCGTTGTTTGTTTCAAATCCATTAATTGTATCGAATGTTGTAATCCTTTGCAATTCCTGTCATGAACTCAACTACTAAAATAAAAGAATCCTAATAAAGGAATTTCTGTTATTGTAGAATGAGTCAAGAATCCGCCCACGGACAAGGCAACAATGAACACGTCAGTGTTCATACTGAAGCATCTAGTTTCACCCCTCCCGTCCAAAATGAACCCGTCAATCAACAAAATGTTGGGAATAACCCAAACGCTGGTGGTCAACCCGACCTTGTGATTCCAGCTTTTCTAGCTAATGTGTTGCAACAAATAGCCAACGCGCCAATGTTTCAACCACCTCCACCACCGCCACCTCGAGTGATAACCTACAAAACGCTAAGAGATAACGGTGCAGATTTATTCCTTGGGGATCGCATCGGTGAACCCCAGATTGCGTGGGACTGGATCGAGCAGACTCCCCGAGTGTTGGAAGATCTCAATGTACCCATGGACAATTATCCCAGACTGGCTTCTCAATTGCTTTGAAAGGAAGCCTACGAGTGGTGGAAGAGGACGGATGAGAGTGCGGGAACCCCTAAGCCGTGGACATGGGCACATTTCGAATGGGCATTCAAGCAAGAATATATTCCGAAACGATTTAGCGAGGAAAGACGTAAGGAATTTGTTGAACTGAAACAGGGAGACATGACACTCCCTGAATATCGTCAGAAGTTTACCAAACTCGCAAAGTTTGCACCAACCTTAGTAAATACCCCAACCGATCGCATTGAGGAGTTCAGGAAGAAACTTCGACCTGACCTCAGGTCATGTGTATCCATTCTAACCACTGTGGATTTCGCGGAGGCCTACGATCTCATTGCCAGGGCAGACAGCGACTTGAGTGCTTGCATTGAGTATCTGAAGACAAATAATGTCAGCTCAAGCACTCACCGTCCCACCGGCTCTGCCTCAAAAGGGAAAAGGCCCTTTCAAGAACCTAGCAATTCACATTTCTCTAAAAAGGGAAAATCTGTACAAACTCAGTCGATGGCATCCGTTGATAAGTCCAAAAAGCGGAGGTATCCAGCTTGCGAGCACTGTGAAAGGAATCACCCTGGAGAATGCTGGCTTAAGCAAGGGTTGTGTCTCGGCTGTGGAAAACCAAGACACTTTCGAAAGGAGTGCCCTACAAACCCCGGAGAACCGTATCCACCTGCCCCTGTTGTTAGTCAAGCAGCATCGGCACGACCCCGGAGAAGGGGCGATGCGATCGTGGTGGATTTATGATTTAAAATGATTAAATTAAATTGTTATGAGACATGATTTAAATTGCTTCCGCATTATGGTTAAAAACTCCGTAATTTATTACTGTTATGTATGGAATATTATTTTATGATAAATAAAGATGTTAAAATGTTTTAAATTTTTACGATTACGAAGTTAATACTTTAGTCCGAAAGGGGCTGCAGACCTGGACGGATTAGGGTGTTACAGCTCTTTTCATCAAACCAGGGGGAAGTATGTGAAAACACTATTTTGTTTTGAAAACATTATTTTGTTTTGATGAAAACACCTTGTTTAAACATGAGTTTTGGTTTAGAGATTGCTTAATATTTCTCTTAATTATTCATTTTTAGTATGATTTTGAGATTTATCTTTAAGCGCATACATTCAGGGGGAATGTAATTCAGGGGGAACTTAACTGTTTTTGGCTAACAATTGTTTTTGGCAATGAACTACTCATAAACTCTAAGCAATGGAAGCCGAATACCTCAGTTTAAGTACTAAAGTTGGAGATCTCCGATTCAGGTACTTTACAAAATCTGCCTTCTTAGAACTAAGCTTTAATCCTTAGTTCATTTCCAACTATGCTCTTAAGTACTGGTCCTTAGGATTTTTTTAATGTACAGGACTTTGGAAAAATAGTACCACTTTTCTTTTAAAAATGAATTTCATATTTTTTTGGTACTACCTCGTCCTAATTAGAAATTAGAACTATAGGGAATGAAAAATGATAGTTTATTTTGGGCCTTGAGAACCCAATAGGAATAATTTCCCTTTAGTGCATACATTTTTTTTTGGGCCACTCTTTTGGGCTTAGCCAAACCAAAACAGTTACGTTTTTCAAACCAAACGAAACTGATTGTTTTTAATTGGAACAGTTTCAACACCTTGGTAACTGGTAAAAGATTCTTTCAACTTTTCAGAATTCAACTTCTTGGAAGTTGAAACTCTTTTACTCTCACCGTTCCAACTACCCACTTAATGGAACCCGTGAACCTCCCCTCTCTCTACCTCTTCTCGTATTTAAACCAAGACATTCCAATCCATTCCTATCACAAACAACTCTCTCAATATGAAAAGTCTTCAAACTCACTGTCTGAGAAAAACACCAAGAAAAATATCCTCAATGGAGAAATTTTTCTTTCTCACCCTCATAGACGGCAATGGAGAAAGCCTAATGAGAACAAAAGTCTTTCAAGGTCTATGCTGAGAATCTCGGCAGTAGAGAAGGTCTGTGGTGAAAATCTCATATTTTTCAGGATTACACCATACACCTTCTCTGGAAACAACACTCTCTCCATTTTTGTTTCTTCTAATTCTTTTAAAAATTTTCTCTTTTTCTTTCTTTTCTTTTATTTATGCAGTCTCTGCACCCTTCTCCCAAGCATTTTTCAAATTTTTTTTGTGCAGTCTCTGCTCCCTTCTCACAAGCATTTTTCAAAATTACTTTTTCAAAATTTTTCTTTCTTTTCACCATATTTTTCCTTTAAACTCTTTTTAAAATTTTTTTTACTTCATCTTTAAAAACCCTTATTTTATCTTTTTCACAATCAATTCTCTTTTCCAAAACCTTTTTCTTGTCCTTCTGTCTTTTTCATTTCTTCCACTGCCGCCTCCTTTCCCTCCACTTTCTTTTTGTTCTTGTTTTTGCTTTTTGGAGAGATGTTGCTTCCAAGATCTCAAATATCCACTTTGGATATTAAAGATCTATCAAACGCACCGCCATCTGTACTACCAAGCAAAATCTGCTGGAAGTGAAAGCGGCAAATGGCAGAAAATTGTAATTTGAAGTGTATTTGTTTAAGAGTTTTTGTTAACAAGCTGTATATTATGAGAAATTAAAAGAAAGTTATAAAATTAGTTCTCAGTACAGCGACCGGAACTCTTAAACACTTGTTTGTCATCATCAAAAAGTGGGAAATTGCTGGGAAAATATTATAGATTTTGATGATGATGTATTTAGATTGTAATAGGGACTTTAGGTCTCCCCCATTATTCAATGTAATTTTTCTTTTTAGAAATATTGTTAAAACCGAGTTCTTGAGATTTCCAATAAAGCTGTGATATTTCTTTAAGTGGTTTGATGCTTGAAGACTTAATCAAATTTAGTGATATGGAAATTGGAATTCTTGATCGGAAATGTCAGAGACAAGTAAGGATTTCTCGAAGCAATTGAAGATCCTCTAATCCGAAACACTACATGATAACCGGATGTCTCGCTATAACCCGCTGAAGGCTAAGTTATCCAAATCGGAAGACTAGCGCGGATCTCTTTCTCACCCGGAAGTCTGTGAATGACTCTTCCGGATTTGTCAGCGAAAGAACTGGATGCCTCAAGAAAAGACCGGAATTCTCAGAAGCGGACAAGTGAGAAAAGACTTAGAAAATTATCTAAGTCTTGAATGAAGAAATTCTACCCGTTGGTATAGAAAAAACAACCTCTTGATTTTCAACGGCTAGATTGAAGATAATTAAGCTGATTCAAGAACAAATGACTTGAAGACAAAGTCTGGACCCCTCAAATTAAAGAGCTCGTCCAGAATTCCTAAACAAGCACTAGAAGACAAACAGAGTAACGAGCTACAGTCCAGAGTTCTTGAACAACAGCTAGAAGACGTATTCTGTGGAAAAAGGAATCCCTCCTCAAACAATTGGGTATGTCCAAACACCCATTCCAATGAAGAATCCTCAATCACAATCTTCATTCAAAACTGAAGCCAGCACATGAAACGGATAGTCTATTTTGATTCAACGGATAGATTATCCAATCCAGCTATAAATAGCAACCTTGGAAGACTGGAGAAAGTACGATGAGATAGAAAGCACGAAATACATACAACGAAGAAAACTACAACAAAGCTATCTCATTCACAGTTAGCCAAAAAGCTAGATAAAGAGAGATTTCTAAACTCCTTATCCAGAAGCAAACTTCTCCTCCTTCCAAGGAGCTATAGTGTAAACACTTGAAGGTTTCCTTGCCTCAAGTACCACATCACGTTGAAGGATAAAACTTTTAATCAAACTTCTTGATTAAAAAAGGGGGTACATCAACTTTCTTACAAGTTGATCTTGCAAGTCCTATTGTTCGGATCTTGCAGTTGTTGAAGAAGCTTGACCTTCGAAGGAACAACAAAGCCAGCACGAGTGCAGTAGCAACATTGGCCTTGCGAAGATATACCGTGCAGAAATTCACACAAGTGTAATTGCTGGTTCATTATTCAACAACCAACTACATAGTGGATTTTTAGGACGTAGAAGGATTACCCCACCTTCGAACCTCGTTAAAGTTTGCGTGTCTCTCTCTTTTATCTTTACTCATACTTGCAATTATATTAACTGTGAAAACTAACACATCCATATTGATTACTGCTCAATTACCCACCAACTTCCGCACACAATCTAAGGTTCACAAGAACTCTAGAATAAACACTCATTTTCACGTTTTCAAAATAAACGAAAAAGTTTTTAACTTGTAACAAAGTCTATTCACCCCCCTTTAGACTTTGTATCTCACCACTTTGGGACCACCAAGAAAGATATCAAAATTGAGTATATCTCAACTGAAGAACAATTGGCAGATATCTTCACAAAACCACTAAGTGAAGTCAAGTTTTCCGATTTGCTTCACAAAATTGGTCTAATTCAATTAGACTCAGTGCGGTTCATGTGGCAGTCCACTTTCCACGTCTACTAAAGTAATGGGTAGGCACGTGGCCTTGGGACCAGTTGAAAACCCAATCGCCACTAGCCGCATAAATCGCCCAAAAATAAACCCAATCGCCATTATATTCAGATCTCAAACTGCGCACTCAGCCCACTCAAAATTTTCGTCATCTTCCTCACAAAAATTCTCAAGAACCCTAATTTCTTCAGATTCTTTCACCCAAAATTCAAAGAAAATGAAGATTGTTGGCGCAAATGTTCATTTTCAGAAATTGGAAGCCAAGTGTTCTTCACCGACGTTCTATCAGACCTATTTGGAGATGATCGCTGCACAGGAACTATCCGAATTCCTTCATATAGAGCTTCACTCCAAGTATGAAGACGAAGTTCTTCAATTCTACAAGAATGGAGAGGTCAGAACGGTTCAATCGAAGAAGAATCCACAGAGGACGATTCAAGTTATTGAGTCCACTGTTGAAGGTTCAAAAGTGGGGATTTCACAGAAGAAATTGAAGAAAAAGCTTCATCTTCCCAACTCCGGAAGTGAAATTGGGAGGCTCCCGTCCAAGAACCTGGACTGGAAAACTATTGGGATTTTTGAACAAATCCCCTCTGGCCCAGCAAAAAAGGCCGATTTGAAGAATGACTACAAATTGGTCCTGGAACTAATCATTGCATGTCTTGAATGTGGCAGTGGAGGACATGCAGATGACATAACTCAAGAAAAGGCATTCATCATCAACGCCCTCATTACCAGAACCAAGGTAAATTTGGCTAAACACTTCTTCAACTCTGTTTCAAAGCATTTAGGGAAGCTGATAACTCGGGTTTGGGTTAATATTTTTAATTCTCTTTTTGGCATTTTTAGTATTTTTATTGTTTAATTTTCATTTGTTTAGCTTAGTTTTATTTTAATTCCTATTTTTACAAACCTTTTATTTTCATTAATAAAAAGTTGTTTTTTACATGTTATTATTTTAATATTTTTATTTTTCCTAACCCAAGTTACCAGATATTTTATTCTGTGAAGAAAAAATGCAGCAAACGGGCGAGATTGAAGTTCAATTTGGAAAGAATAGATCGAATTTGGGCCGAAGCCCAAACCTATCATTAATAAAACAAGATCCAGCCCATCCCAATTCTATCTTGTGCAACAAAGGAAATTCAGCGGCTTCTTTGACTGGCGCACGCGAGAAAGGAGAAGAACCAGCGGCACTTCTTCTTCGCCAACAGAATAATTCAAGGCAACGTTACTCCTTCAACCGCGCTCCGATTCAAAAGTGTAACTGAAATATTGATGAATTATTCAAGTGCATATCTAATTTCAGTCAACATCAACAACTCTTCTCTGGGAAAAAATCAACGGGAAAAAATTCCTCCAGCTATAAATTGAAGCAACGACGAACGAAGCAAGGGGGGAAATACACGAGGAGCAACGACAAGAGAGCCGCGGCCTAGCCGCGGCGGCGGTGGCGGACGGCCGGCAAACGCGAACCGGCGGCGGCAAAAGCTCCGTTGAGTGGTGGGCAGTCTTCTCCAAGCTCCAATTTCTTCAATTTCATCTTCTTCTTCATCAATTGGTAACCCTATATGTTATTTCTTCAAATTTTTCTCCAATTCTATGTAAAAGTTTGTTTTTTTATTCAATTTTACATTTTTTTGCTTTTTGTGTTTGTTCCAAATATTCTAAAAATGGTTGGTGTTCTTCTTTTTAAGTTTTTGAATGTCTATATTAAATTCCTTATGAATGAGAATTGATTCAAATTAGTTTTTTTTCAATTATTGAGCAAGTTGTTGTTGAATTGGTTGAATTGTATAATTTGATTTCATAAGTAAGTTGGTATGTGGAATTCGGTTTTTGTTGAAGCTATTTTAGCTCCATAAGGTAGTTAAATAAACTCTGGATTCATACGTGAATCTTTTTTGTGATTTGTGTTTGTTGATTTTAAGAATTTTGGACTTCTTAGCCCCATAAGTTGATTCATTTTCTTAGAATTCGTTATTGAGTGATTGTGTATGTTTTTGTATGTTTGTTTGTTATTTTCATTAAGTTGGGGTTGTTTAAGCTCAAAAACAATTCTCAATTTATTGAAAATATGTTGTGTTCATCTATGTGAATAGAAAAAACGTCATTGGTTTGAGAAGTTCATGGAAATCTGTGAAATGTGCTCATCATTAGGAGAAAAAGTTTGTTAAAATGCATAAGGTATTGGCGGTTTGTGAATATATTATGCATGAGAGTTAGAATGAAAAAAAATTCGCTCTTTTATAAACTTTTTCTATAGTGGAAGTATGTTTTCACGCTTGATTTGTGAGTTGGGGTTCTAAGGTATATTTCAAAATGGGCCTTTGAATTACATGACTCCGGGCCGTGTGGAGAGTTGACAATCCTCCATATCGTGGTTAAGGAAATGAATCGACTCAGCCTTTGATTGATTTTTCCTATTCTTAAGTGCGTAATTTACGTAATATATTGTCTACGTGCCTATTATACGTGTAATGTTCGATTGTGTTTGTTCTCTTTTTTATTTTGTTTCGGGTTCTTGGTGGTGTTCTTGGGTTACTTTTGTTGGAGTAGATGATTATGTTTAGAGCTTGTTTTCCCCCATTTAATCAAAAAAAATAAGAAAATATAAAAAACCAAAAAATATTTACTTTTTATTCAACCCCCCCCCCCTTGTGTTGTGTTTAAGTTATATTATAAATGTTTGTTTATAAATTATATTATAAGTTCTCTGTTTATATAAGTTATATTTATAAGTTTTTATATTTATTTAGTTATAAGTTTTATTATAAGTTTTATACGTCTTATCATACGTGTATTAGTTAGTTTGCTTTTATTTGTTTTGTTTTCGTGACAACGTGTTTGCATGCTAATTTGATTACAAAAGTACAAACTTTCTCCGTGGGATCGACCCTTACTTGCCCTAGCTATAGTTTTTATTTGATTATATATTGGGGGTTAGCTAAGGTTATTTTTAAATTTTTAATTTGTTTTGGACCGCACGACAAGTCCTAAATAGAAACCCAAGCAGAAATATCTCTGTCAAGGATTGTACCTTGGGTACATTTTGGAATCCTTGGGTGCTTATTGGCTCTACTATTTGTATGATGCCAGATATTGGCTCTACTATTTGTCTTCTAAAGGAGAAAACAGAGCTAGTTCAACTGCAGAAGAAGAAAGTTCTTCAGACAATGTCCTTATTGTAAGTCTGAAGAAATCTTCAAAAAGGAAGCATGTGGTGTCTCCGTCCCCCAGTGCTGAAGCACCACAAAATCTTGCATTGGTCAATCTGGATGAAGAACAAGAAGTCCCTGCACATGGAGAACTTCAAAAGAAGAAGAAAAGAAGAATCTCCTCTTCCTCCACATCTGGAAATGCAAATCCGGATGACTTGGTGGAAAAGGAACCATTTGAGGAAGCCTCTGCACACAACCAGAGTCCTCAACAACTTGATGAAGATGAAGAAATCCCTCAAGACCAGAGTCTTCCATCTCCTCCATCACAAGCTCAACTGATGATGAAGTGAGCAAATTCATGCAGCTTTACTATGATTGGAGAGCTTGGAAGGTTGGAAACTCTGCAGATCAGTTGTTAGAATGGGATCAACAACTGAAGAATGATAAGGTTATCAAGAGATGCTTGGGACTGCCAATCAACCACTGTTGTGAACAAATTCTGGATGATGACTGAGTATGGCAGAAAACCTATGGAGATCTACATCTCGAATACCTGGCCACCTCTCAAACTTCAGAGTTTGAAGCTGATGATGAGGATCCTGCAGTCTACAAACCAATCTTTTCAAAGCCAACAGAAGATCAGATGGTTCTCACCACTGAAGCACAGGCTCACATGGAAGCCACAGCTGAAGATTTCCAAGTTTTTCTGGAAACCTCACCTGCTTTTGAAATTGTTCTGCCTGAGGAGAATGTAGCCACTCCCCTGCAAGAACAAAACCAAGAAAAATCAGAGGAAGAACTTCAGCAATTCCTCCAATCTCAAGTTCTAGAGATCCTCACAACCCCTTGTGAAATCTCCAAATCAACTGAACTTGAGATTTCGGAGAAGTCAATTGAGAATCTGGAGAAGTCCACTCCTCCAGAAACAAATGAAGCTCTTCAGGAAGACCCAGCAGTTGAAGTCCAGAGAAGTTTTGCAGAAGCTGAAGGAGAAGCTCAAATAGCCAGACTCGAGGCCACTGAAACTCCAGTAGCTATCTTTGAGCAGCCAGCTGAAGATGAAGACAGAGATTCCCTCTCCAAGGATATCTCAAACTTTGTGAATGATGAAACGGAGGAAGAGTCAGTGAAGACATTAAAGATTGATGAAGAAGAAGCTGAGCAAGGAGATGCTGAATCCCTCCCTCTGCAACTCTTCCACAGAGTACCTTCTTCACAACAATTAACAAATTTTCATTTTTACAGCTCTTCCGCATCCACCCTTCCGGATGAGATACTGGAAACCTGGACAAGGAAGGTCCAAGGGTTGATTGAATCAGCCCTAGAGTCCCAGCATGCCTCTTTTAGGCAAGAGATAGAGCAGATGGAAGCAAGGCACAACAAATTGATGGAGAAATCTGAAGAAAAGTATTGCTCAAATCTCAATGAGATAAGCAAATTTGTAGACAAAACTCTAGAGATCATATCTCTATTTAGTAAGTCTGTGAGCAATACAATGGAGGCTTATGCATGTGACTGCCATCTTCAATTCAAAGAAGCCACTGCAATCAAGCAGCAGATTGCCACAGTCACAGTCAACCTTCAGAAGCAGATGTCTCTCCTCTAGATGTATATCAGATCAGCCCTGGCAGTGTCATCAGAAAACCAGGTGGTGACTCAAGACTACCTAAAAGTTCTTGAGGCACTTTGGTACCTACACTCGGAAACACAAGCTGGACGTAACAGTTCAACACAGAAGTCCATCCCAAATTCCACAGTTTCCAATTGTAGTCAAACAAGGAGAACTCACATACATTCCATCACATCTGGACATGACGGATCTGATACTTGAAGCCCAGCAGAGCAATCCGGAGAACTCAATACAGCATCTGTCAAACACTGGTTTTGATGGATCAGAAGCTGCAGGAACCATTGCCTCCCACTTCACAAGTGATGCCCAGACAGAAGAGAGATATAACAATCTCAAGCGCATCCAGGAAGAGTGTGGAGTCATGCAAGGCATTGGTGAGGCTGCCGGATCATCCAAGCGCAAAAAGAAGTGAAGGCTCTTTTTATCAAAACAGGGGGAAGTATTGAAAACATTATTTATGTTTTGATGAAAACACCTTCTAGTTTAAACATGAGTTTTTGGTTTAAACATTGCTTAATACATCTCATAATTATGCTTGAACGTATCTCTTTTAAGTATGATTTTTGAGGCTTATTATTGAGCGCACACATTCAGGGGGAACTTAACTGTTTTTGGCTAATATTTGTCTTTTGGCAATGAACTACTGATAAACTCTAAGCAATGGAAGACGGATACCTCAATTTTTGTACCAGAGTTGGAGATCTCCGATTCAGGTATTCTACATTATCTTCCCTCCTAAACATAGTTTCAATTCTTAGTTCATTTCCAACTTTGCTCTAAAGTACTGGTCCTTAGGATTTTTATAATGTACAGGACTTTGGAAAAATAGTACCACTTTTCTTTTAAAAGTGAATTTCATAATTTTTCTTTCGGTACTACCTCGTCCTAAATAGAAATTAGAACTAGAGGGAACGAAAAATGATAGTTTTATTTTGGGCCTTGAGAACCGAATAGGAATAATTTCCCTTTAGTGCATAGATTTTTTTTGGGCCACTCTTTTGGGCTTAGCCAAACCAAAGCAGTTACGTTTTTCAAACCAAATGAAACTGATCCCATTTGAAAAAGTTTCAACACATCGGTAACCGGTAAAAGATTCTTTCAACTTGTCAAAATTCAACTCCTTGGGAGTTGAAACTCTTTTACTCTCACCGTTCAACCTACCCACTAAATGGAACCCGTGAACCTCTCCTTCCTATCTCCTCCTCCTATTTAAACCAAGCCATTCCAATCCATTCCTATCACAAACAACTTTTTCAACATGGAAAGTCTTCAAACTCACTGTCTTAGAAAAACACCAAGAAAAATGTCCTCAATGGAGAAATTTTTCTTTCTCACCTTCATAGACGGCAATGGAGAAAGCCTGGTGAGAAGAAAAGATATTCAAGATATTTGGTGGAAATCTCGGTAGTAGAGAAGATATTTTGTAACGACCCAAAAACCGGCTTAGTAGTTAGCCGTTATTTTAATAAAAATAAATATTAAATTTATTTACTCATAAATGTGAATTATTTGTAAACTTGTCCGTTTTAAATAAAAATTGGGTTTTCAGATAGATCTCGAATAATGGTGACCAACGGTATAGAGTTTGTCAAATTTGGACTTAAGTGTAAAACATGGTGAGTAAAATAGACATTACAGTTCAATATATAAATACAAAGATTTTATAATATAATAATAATAATAATAACTAAAACCCTAACCTACCCTGATTCTAAAACAAGAACCCTCCCACCCCCAATTTGTATCTAAACGCACAAACGGAGAATGCAAGAAAGAACAGAACAGCCGCGCAAGAAGAAAAAAAGAGAGACAATAAATAACAGAGCAGGAACACGATAACAGAGCCGGGCAGCGGAGGAGGAGCAGTACCGCCGCCACTGTGACACCGGTTCACCGCCGCTCTCTCCCTGTGCCGCCGCCGCTCCAGCGTTGCTGCTTCGCCGTCACCGGGAAGCCGACCGACGTCGCTGCTTTGCCCTTGCCGGAAAACAGCCTCGCCACCGTCTGCCAATTCGACTTCCTTGTCCGTTTATCTAATTTGTCTAATTCGTCAATAAATCGAGGTCAGAACTTACACATCTAACGCTAGATTATGTATATAGATTTGAAATTCACGTTCGTAGTTTCGTATGATTGATTACGTGGTTTATTTGTTTATAATTGAATTGTGATTTATTTATATCTTATGATAATATTGGAATTGATTGAACGAGGATGAGCAGGTATGTATTCTTACTCTAAATTGTGTGATTTGCATGATTATAATCTTTAAAAACGTTATATGTATCAAACGATTTGGAATAGAATAGAAATCTGCTGAATCTGTACACTCTCGATGCCGAACGGTAGCCTGGTACCGTCCAGAGGGTACCCAGCTACCGCCTCTGGTTCACTACTGCTGTCAGTACCTATGAGCGACGGTCGGACGGTACCGTACCGACGGTACCAAGGTACCGCCAGACGGTACCAAGGTACCGCCAGACGGTACCGAAGTACCGTGACAGGTACCGTACCGGCAGCTGCAAATCCCGTTATTTGATTGTTTGACCCGATTTGGAACCCGAATGGACTCTGAGACTTTATGTGTTGCATGACGGTAAATGGAAGGTGTTTACAGCCTACATTAGGCCGCTATTTGGATTGCATGGTGATTTATTTAGCTACTTCTACTCTCTTGATTTGTTGTAAATGTGGTGTGATATGCCTTTAACGGATAAAGTAAATTGAGGTTTTTGTTGGCTTGGATTTGATTAGTTAAAGTAAGTGAATGACGTAGGTTACCTAGAAGAACTCTAGGACTATTTTGTGAGAATTGAGATTGTGAATTGACAATAGGTTGTAGAGCCTTGTGGACTTAGTCCAGTGGCATTCGGGTAAAGATGTACGTACATGGAATCTGGGATCTGATCCGTAGGATTGGAGGTTCCACCCAACCGGCTCCGTAGGTACCGGGTTGACCAGAATCATGGCCGTAGGTAGTGATTCTGATGCCATAGAATAGGCTTGAGTCATGGCCGTAGGTAGTGGCCCTAAGTCCTAAGATACGAATGTGTATAATGAGGAATTGGCCTTAGCCTAGTATAGGTTATGAGCTAGTATTTGATATGAGCTATTGTAAGAACTTGAATGTTGAATTTATAACTTATGCAGTTGAAGAATTGAGGTGAGTAATATGTTGCGTGAATTATTGATATTCTCGATGTTATAAATATTGTACTTATGTGCATGATATTGTATGGAATTATGAGCTAGTGGGTTCGTCTATGTGCGTAGTCGAACGTTAGATAGTTCTCACTTAGCTTCAATGCTGAGCGCGTAGCCCTTTTTCCTATTTTCTACACGTAGGTAATATGAATGATGAATAAGGAACTATTCTGGAGGCACCGAGGGCGATGAGATGGATGGATGCTAGCTGGAGGAGTTTAATATTTAATACTTGAGTTTGAATTAATTATGTTTTTAAGGGCAAGAACCCAAAGATGTATTTTGATTTAACTATTAAAGGCTTCCGCACCGTTTTGATTTACTCCGATGGATTTATAAATATTGTTTTTGAATTAAATGTTTTAAATCGTTTTAAAATTTATTGTGTCTGCATACCAATTTAGTGACAACCCGATCCGCTGGTCCTTGTATTCGGGTCACGCGGGTTGGGGTGTTACATATTTGGTGGGAATCTCGCATATTTTTGCATCTCGCCACATATCTTCTCCGAAACAATACTCTCTCCATTTTCGTATCTTCTAGTTTTCTTTTAAAAATTTTCTTTTCCCTTTTCTATTTTTTGCTCTTCAAAATTTTATTTTTAATATTTTCTTTCTTTTCTTTTATTTATTTCAAATTGATTTCAAGTCTCCACTTCTCCTCCCTTTTTCCCTTCTTCTACTATTTTCAAAACCTTTTCTTCCCTGGTCACCATCTTTTTCTTTCTTTAAACTCTTTCTCAAAACCCTTTTTTTATCTTATCTTCCTTTTCACAATCTTTTCTCTTTTTCAAAAAAAAACCTCTTCTTGTCCTTCTGTCTTTTTCTTTCCTTTCACCAGCTCCTCCTTTCATCCCATCTCTTTTTGTTTTTGTTTTTGCTTTTTGGAGAGTAGTTGTTGCTTCCTAGATCTCAAATATCCATTTTGGATATTGGGATCCATCAAACACAATGACATCTAAACTTCCAAGCAACATCCGCTGGAAATGAAAGCAGCAAATGGCAGAAATATCATAAATCTCAAGACAAGACTTGGTTTAGGAACTATTGTAAATTGAATTGTATTTGTTTAAGAGTTTTTGTTAACAAGCTGTATATTATGAGAAACTAAAAGAAAGTTATAAAATTAGTTCTCAGTACAGTGACCGGAACTCTTAAACACTTGTTTGTCATCATCAAAGAGGGGGAAATTGGTGGGAAAAATATTATAGATTTTGATGATGATGTATTTAGATTGTAATAGCGACTTTAGGTCACCCCCAATATTCAATGTAATTTTTCTTTTTAGAAATATTGTTAAAACCGAGTTCTTGAGATTTCCAATAAAGATGTGATATTTCACTCTGTGGTTTGATGTCAATCTTTGAAGAGTTAAACAAAATCAGTGATATGGAATTCTTGATCGGATATGACAGAGACAAGTAAGGAATTCTCAAAGAAGTTGATTACTTTGAAGATCCTCTAATCCGGAACACTACATGATAACCGGATGTCTCGCAAACAACCCGCTGAAGGCTAAGTCATCCGGATTGGAAGACTAGCGCGGATCTCTTTCTCACCTGGAAGTCTATAAATGACTTTTCCGGATTTGTCAGCAAAGAACCGGATGCCTCAAGAAAGACCGAAATTCTCAGAAGCAGACAAGTGAGATAAGGACTTAGAACAAATGACTAGATTGAGGATATTTAAGCTGATTCAAGAACAAATGACTTGAAGACAAAGTCTGGACTTCTCAAAATAAAAAGCTCGCCCAGAATTCCTAAACAAGCACTAGAAGACAAACTGAGTACTCCACTCAATAAAGAGCTACAGTCCAGATTTCTTGAACAACAGCTAAAAGACGGATTCTATGGAAAAAGGAATCCCTCCTCAAACCATTGGGTACGTCCAAATACCCATTCCAATGAAGAATCCTCTATCACAATCTTCATTCAAAATTGAAGCCAGCAAATGCAACGGATAGTCTATTTTGATTCAACGGATAGATTACCCAATCGAGCTATAAATAGCATCCTTGGAAGACTGGAGAAAAATATGAGATAGAAAGCACGAAACGCATACAACTGAGCAATCTCCTACAACAAAGCTATCTCGTTCACAGTTAGCCAAAAAGCTTGATAAAGAGAGAATTCTAAACTCCTTATCGAGAAGCAAACTTCTCCTCCTTCCAAACCCCTATAGTGTAAACACTTGAAGGTCTCCTTGCCTCAAGTACCACGCCACGTTGAAGGATACATCTTTTAATCAAACTTTTTGATTAAAAAGAGGGTACATAAACTTTCTTACAAGTTGATCTTGCAAGTCCTATTGTTCAGATCTTGCAGTTGTTGAAGAAGCGTGACCTTCGAAGGAACAACAAAGCCAGCACGTGTGCAGTAGCAATATTGGTCTTGCGAAGATATACCGTGCAAAAATTCACACAAGTGTAATTGCTGGTTCATTATTCAACAACCAACTACATAGTGGATTTTGAGGACGTAGAAGGATTACCCCACCTTCGAACCTCGTTAAAGTTTGTGTGTCTCTCTCTTTTATCTTTACTCATACTTGCAATTATATTAACTGTGAAACGAACCCATCCATATTGATTACTATTCTAATTACCCACCAACTTCCGCACACAATCTAAGGTTCACAAGAACTCTAGATTAACACTCATTTTCACGTTTTCAAAAGAAACGAAAAAGTCTTTAAATTGTAACAAAGTCTATTCACCCCCCCCCTTCTAGACTTTGTATATCACCACTTTGGGACCACCATCATTCATAATCATCCATAACAATTATTTATCATAATCATCAATCAACATAATAATCCATAACAATTAGCGGCCTAACTTCGAGCGTTAACACCCGAACATACCGTCATGCATCACATAACTTTTTTATTTGTTAAAAACATTATTTTTATTTTGAGAAATCATTTTTATAATGATCATAATCAATTGGTATCAAAAATATGATTTTAGAGCTCAAAAATAGCATTTTCGGACAACTTTTCGGATAAGATTTTCGGGGAGATCCATCCAGTGCATTTGATCGATCATTGATAGAAAAATTATTCCCAGGGGATCGATCCAAGAGGTATGATCGATCCTATCTACATATTTTCGAGCATTGTTCATCTTCTTCAACCTTCGGGTCCAATTTCGAAAATGCCATTTTTGGTTACTGAACTTCATCGAAATATATAGACATGTTCTCTACGGTTCATAGATCATTTTGGAATCATTAATTCATAGTTTTAACATAAATTTCATGGTTTATGATTCTTTGTTCTTCAAGCATGTCAAACACGAAACTCAACCAAACGACCGTTTATGAACGTAGAAAGAATCTATACGAACATTCTAGTCACTAGATATATCTACGGGCTTACCTCGAAGCTTAATGGAGGTTTTGGAAATTTTCCGGTGAAACTTCCGGCGATGATTTCTCTCAACTCTGGCGACCACCAACTATTTCAGAGTACTCCCCACACTCTTAAGAACACATTGGTAGCAGTTTCACATTTTTTGGTGAAGGATGAGAATTTTTAGCTCTTTATATAGTGGAGATAATGAAGAACAAGACATAGGATGTTGTGTAGGAATTGACTCACGATCGGCTGAGTGGAGGAGGAGGCGCCGTCTGCACTGTCTCCCTGATGGGGACCAATCTTGGTTCCAGTCGGGGTATACTTTTTGGTCCAACTTACTCCGAATTAAATTCCGTTTGCACTGTTGCGATCAGATAGTCGAACTCTATCTAATGATATAATTTTTATATTTATTTGCAATACTTTTCCGGCATCATATTTTTGGGTGTTTGACTTTGACAGAGTCAAAGTTGGTTTAATTGACCTTTATCATAAAAGGTTCTCACATTTAATTTATTCTCTTGGTTTATTTCAAGAATTCATTTCAATGTTCATATCACAACACCTTCTTCATTTATCCTTGATTTGGTTCTATACTCTGGTTCCCAATCAAGGTCACACAATAAGGAATCATGTTGGATTTATCTCTATGAGATTTATCCCAATTATGTTTATTGGATATCAATACATATTTTATTTTGGCCCAAAGCCCAATAACATTTTATTTTAATCAAAACAAATTTGATTAATCGAATAATTATTCATTAATAATTCTAGGGTATGTTTTGGGGCATTACATTTCTCCCCCCCTTAAAAACAATTTCGTCCTCGAAATTCTTCTTAGGTTCAACGTTCAACATTTCGTAATGATCTCACTAATCATGACCATTTCATATTCACATGGTTTCGTCGCTACCTTAGAGATGTGTATTCTCAAGTCATTGATGTCAGCAAACTCGTTCAACCATTCGAGAGATTAACAATATTTAAGCAATGCATTCACTAACCCTTTGGTATTGATGACCAAAAGTTCCTTTATAGTATTGTATACTTGACATATTCACATATAAATTTGTTCAGTCACGAGTCTCGTTTCTACGTCATTGGTCAACGGAATTCTTTTCTCGATTTGAAAAGTTATTCAATACCCTTCGTAGGAGGTTTACGATAGGCATAGTTGAAAATTTGGAAGGTATATCAATTCATACGTCGTAAGCTCTCAAGTTACTTAAATGGTCGTTGTCTTAAGGCATTAGCCATTTTGACTTATCGTCTCAGATTTGAACGTATTTCAGGACACCGAATCTAATTGTTCATGAGTCTCAATATGTCATATCGTAAGCAGACTATAGCATTAACGAGCACGTCCTCGTCTGTAGGTAAATCAAATCCATCTTTGTTGTACAAATTTCGACGGAGGATAATT